ATTCTTATAATACATCAACATTTCGGCTATCTATTCTTCGGCTTTATATTATGCTATTCTTATAATGAAAACATTACATCAAAAATTTCGGCAATATCGGCTTTAATTCCTTGTATGATGTAGATATTACATACATGTTTGTGAACTATAATTGCTTATTCAACAATTTTCTGAGTAAATAGCATGTCGGATATTACTAATTGTATTTATTATACACTCTGTAATTATATTAAATTTCAAGCTATGTAAAAGTATAAAAGCTAACCTAAATTCTTCAAGTTGACTTATTCAACTTTGCTAATAAGTTTATAACACCAACCGTTAGTATAAAAAAAAATCAAATCGTAAAACCATGGAAAAATTCTTATTTGAAGCCTCGTTTAAAGAAATTTATGATAAATCTAGCCAAGAATCTGATATTGAACAAGAAGTGTTATATGATGAATTTCTCAAATTTGACTACGAATCGCTCAAAAAAGCACAAAAAAGAGTAATTGAATTAATAGAAGAAACTGATAATGAATCTCTTGAGAGTAGTGATGAATCTTTTGAAAGTGACAATGAACCTCTTGAAGGTGGTGATGAGATAGAAACTTAAGAAACACTTGGTGAATTTGAAAAGCAAGTGCCCGATCCTAAAAATATGACTAAATATACAAATTGTATAGTTATTGATAATGATAATAAACAAAAAATAATTCAAAGATGCAACAGAAAAGGAGATCGCTGCGTGGAGCAATTAGCTGGTACATGGAAGATTGACTCTCAAGCTGTAAAAAATGAATTGGTGGAGGTTTTTAAGTTAGGCATTTGTTTGTGTCATCTTAACTATGACCAAAATGCTTTACATAAACTCTAGCGAAGATTGCGTATAAAGACAGTAAGAGATATTAATGAAAGTATTATTAGATCATGTCGATGTTTACTTTGTAAGAAGTTCAAATGCTTTGTTACAAGAGGTAAAACATGTTCACAACATACCTGGAAAGTGTATGGACGTATAATTCAAGTTCTATGCTGTGGATTGTTCGAGTGCCCAGCATTTGCTGAATATGATGGATTGTCTGCTAAATCATTTAATGAAGATGACCCTCATTTTATCTGTACAAATTGCTTTGAATTGCATAGAGGTCATTTGCATCTTCAGCCAGGAAGAGAAAAAACAAAACCTGTTATATGCATAGGCCAAGGTCAACACAATTTCGATACTACAACTGCCTTAAAGTTATTCAGTAATTGGATTGAACAGATCGCTAAATCTGATGATAAGATAGCAAAAACTAATTTATTAAAAAAGCTTGTTAAGTTACTTAATACTTTAAATGTACCTGAGACACAAAATACTGTTATTGAGCTGTTTACCATTCTTAAAACATCTAGTCCTTTGTTAATTCAAATAGTATTCACACTTAAAAAAATAGATGTTAGTGAAAAAGTAAAAGCAAAGCAATTACAGACTACTACATGTAAAAACTTTGGAAAATTACTCGCCCTTTCTGTACTAGAGGAATGATCAAAACTCAAGCAAAAATTACCATCATTTGAAGAACCCAAATCCTTGGATGAATATTACACTGCTATGCTGTCAACTCTTATAAACTTTTTTGTTAGTTTTATTTCAGTTCTAAAGAAAAAAAATAATCAAATATTAGCTAGAAAATGAAAGGAACAAAGCTTGCCTCCACCACAACTAAATGAACAAAAAATAAAAACATATTCTCTATTTTTCTCTTCAGTGTTACTTGCAATCACTTTTTGACATTGAAAAATATGATTTACACATATTCTTTCTTCTATTTGTCAACAACCAAAAATAATAGGATCCTTGTATAAAATTCTTCGTTCAGTTCAGGTAATATCTTATGTTAGAGATCATGAAGTTCGTTGTCAGAAAAAAAGGATGATAGCTACAGAGCCTTGATCAAGACTCAATTTATATCCAAATATATTAAATTTTGCACTTATAGATAATATTGATTTGAAAGACAAAACTTTTCAACATGGCAACATTTATGATATAACCTGTACTACTGCACATGCGACGCTAAGAATGGTTATTCAATTTCAGTGTTCAGAATTTGACAATCTAAATAGAGAACTGATAGAAAATCAGAACCTTTTTGGTATAAGTTCTTATATAAATGAATGACAAGAAAAAATCGATTCAATCTTTAAAATATTAGTTAATCAAGAACAGATATTCAGTGCTAAACTTGTTGATGTGACAATTAGAAAATATGTTGACTTAACATTGTTGATAGAACTGCCAAATGTCATAATTCTTGAACCAGAAGATACTCCAAATACAAACAAGAATGTCCATCAGGCAGTTGATTTGTTCTTAGATGACTTCAGTTGTACAGAGAATCGTATATTAAATTTGGTATATGACGAAGCAATCTATCATCACATGAAAAATTATAAGAACGAAGACCAAACTGTGCACTGCATTTTAGGACAGTAGCATACAAGCAAAGCAATGTGCAGTGCACTAATTGCCGCTTTCTCAGGTTATAGTCTTTTCAAACTTGCAGCAAAACTTGATATAAAATTTTTTGACAAACTCGAGCAAATTGCTGACTATCGCGCAACATTTTGAGTACTTGAGCTCATTTGAATGGCTGTTAGTATTGTGATTTATCTGTATGCTCAAGAAAAAAATATTTTAGTTATAAAAGATATTCTTAATGAAAATAATACTTTGCTAAAAATTTGG